CCCCAAATTATTGCACTACGCCGATGTTGGTAAATTCTCTTTACAGAGAGAAGAGATACCCAGCCAAAAATCTTTCCCCCCCCCAAGGCTTTTGTTTGGTGTGCGTCTTCCTTCCGTTTCGCTGCTTTGGTTTCCAAGCGGTATCCTGGGGGGGCTTTGTCCCCTGGCAGTCAGAGGGTTACAGGCCGACTTCAGCTGCCTCGATCTGGTGTCACCATTTGCAGGGCCCCCCCCTCGCCTTTTGCCTAAGACAGGAACCCAACAGTCCAAACCCGTTTCCTCTCCCTTCTTGCTGTGTCGCAACCTGCCGCGAGAACGGAGGGCACAGCTGTTTGGTTTGGGGGTGGACCCTCCACCCCTCCCTCTCCTTGGTCTCTTGGGTCTCTGAGCATGTGTCAAGCACCAGTAGAGCTGGCTGGCAAGGAGAATCCCTTGCCTTGGCCACTGGTGTTCTGTGGAGGACGGGAGAGGAGCAGCAAGCCGAGGAGTTACAATTTCCGTTTGAAATGGATTGCAATCGCGCTCTGCTTTTTGCAATTCCAAATCCCTTGCTGTTTTTGCACGCGCACTCCTGCATCTGGGTCACGTCCATGTTGGAAGGCAAATCTGGGCCCCCGGGTTCTGGTTGTCCCTTCCTTGTTGCTACCTGCAATTTCATTGGTACCCCTGCAGTCACCTTCCAACCTCGCTATATTTTCTCTCTGATGGCTCTCTCTACTTTCCCCGCTTCTTGGCTGAGAAGAAGGTGAGCCGGTCTGGGTTGCAAAAATCAAAATGGCCACTAGAGGGCAGAAAAGGGATCCAGGATCCTCTTGCATGTTGCTGCCCCCTAGTGGTGGCCTGTGTCTTTGCAGCCCTGGTCTGCAAACTACAGCTCAGTGTTTCTCAACCTTGGCAACTTTAAGATGAGTTGAAGTCCACTCACATCTTAAAGTTGCCAAGGTTCAGAAACACTGCCCTAGCTAATCTTGGACGGCAGCGTTCACACAACCTTCGAGTAACCCTGGTGTTTTTCATTGCAAAGGACGATGCCTTGGGGCAATTTTCCTGTGGAGAAAGAACGCTTGTTTCGATTGCCCGCCTCGCTCAATAGGTGAGCCACGTTTTTCATTTTGTATTTCCCCTCTTTTAATCCGCACTTTGCTGCCACAAACTATATCTGAGATGCTGTTATGCCCGTGTGAACCTGAAGAAAAAAGCTTAGAAAGTTTGGGGCACTGTTTCCTTTTCAATAAATCTCTGCATGCTTTCCCCCAGAGCGTATCTGTGTATATTTCCCCCCTGTTTTGTGTTGATTTCCCCTCCATTGTGTCTAAGTTTATTTTTCTTTTCCAAAATGCATTTGGTTTTGTCCCCAAAACACATCTGTGTTTATTTCCTTACCAGGCATGTCTGTCTTTATATACCTTTTTCCTCTTTTCAAATAGGCCTTAGGAGTTATTCCCCACTGAAATGTTTCTTTTACTTGTTTTTCTCCTGTTCCTATTGCTCTTTCAGGGAACAGGGCAATTTTAGTCTCCAAATGGGATGCTTAGGGTATCGTCAGCCAAGGGCAGGGCCTAGGAATAAACACCGTTTTATTTCAAAGGCGAATCGCAGCGATTAATGTAAACTGGATTAAAGCAAAGGACCAGGTCTTGCCATCTGCCTCTTGCCTACATTTTAATTGTTGGCTTTCTCACTAAGTCTTTGACTAAACCTTTTCGGATTAGACTGTGCCTCGTATCTTCAATCAGTGCCCTTCACTGCCACGCGCAGCTATTCAGAGATAGACTTCTTCCGGATAAGGGCTCTCTCATTTACTGGACTCTTTGAAAGCCTTTAGGCATCTTGGCGGCTTAAATCTGCCTTTTCTCCTTTCAAAAGGCCTCCAAGCCTGTGGCTCTTTCCCCATGACCTCCTGTGGGATGGGGGGGTGGTACAGGCAGCCCCACTAACACAGCTATGTAGCCTCGGGGGAGGCCCACATGCGTGTGGAAGGATTTGCCCCAGCTTGCAAGCCTCAAAGGGGGGGGGGGGCGCCAATCAGATTCAGTGGCCCAATTTTCTTGTGCAATTCTAGAAGCTGGAAAAAAAAGAAATGCATAAGACTCTAATCTGGCCATCCTCGTTCAGACTCTCCTTTCATCTCATTTGCCTTCTCTTTCATGTGGGGCATCCCCCCCCTTCTTCAATGAACAAGGGAATGGAGGCTGATCGGCTGCCGACACGTAACTCTGTTGAGTTGCACCAACAATGCCCCCCATTGTGCTCCTTTGGAACAACTGGGATGGCCTTGTCTGTCCCCCTTCCATGTCCCTGGAGACATTGTTAGATTAGAGCCAGCATTTCAAGCACGGCACGGCAGGGGCGGAAAGGGAGCGTTTGTCCGCCTGTGCGGCCATCAAAAAATCTCTGCATCTCTGGCGGCTTCAATAACGTGCACCCTCTCTGCTCATCCTCCCCCTGGACCTTTTCCGCCTCCGCGTTTCGATCTCAGTGCCAGCTGGCAAGGCAGAAGGACAGAGGTGCTGTGTGAATATAATGTGTATCTTCCGGACATCTACAAGATTCTGCCTCTCCAATAAGATGGAGCAGGGATCGTCTTCCCCGACATCCAAGGAGTTAGATTTTCCCTTTTACAGCCCCACCACTTGGGAATTATCATCCCCCTGAACTCAGACTACCCCAGTCCTGTTGTGTTTTCGAAGACCTGGAAACCTAGTTTTTTAAGACCTGGTTGGGAGGGGATCTGCTGACCACACAGGCCTGGGGCTGCAGGTTGGTCTGGAAAGCTAAACTGGGGTGGAATAGGTAGGATTTCAGAGTAGACGTGTCAAGGGTAAAGTTGAACAGTGTCTTGACTGATAAAATAGGGCTGTATTTTTCTCTGTGACTCAGTTTCCCAGAGAGATTCCCACCGCTTGCCCTTGCAGTAGAATTATTGGTTGATTTGTGTGTGGTTGCAGAAAAAGCTGAGCCAATTTAGTCTGGTTACAACTCCTCATCTGCCCTTTTCAACCTGGACACCTTCCAGACGTCTGCTGCATGCAGAATGGGGACAATGACACTTGAATCGCTTTGGAGTGAATTCTTTTACCGTTACAGCCATAAACCCTGGTGATGTTTCACTCAGCTTTGGGGATCCTAATGCCTGTCTGTGTGTCTTTGTTTTTAATTCCACCCCTCCCCGCCCTTTTGCAACCAGAACAAATTCTGACTCTGCCCTGCACACAAGCGTGATGAACCCCAACCCACAAAATGCGTATCTGGGGCCCTCCCAGGCAGCACCCCCTCTGAATCGCAAGAGCGGTGAGTGACCTGGGGGGTTGCGCGTTCTGAAACAGCGTGGGTCTCGCGAGAGGTGGATTTGGGGTTTTTTCCTGGATGCATCTTCTCTGCAGATTTGGGATGGGCGTTTAATTATCCCCTCCCCTTTCAGCAGCCTGGAGGAAGACCAGTTTGCAAGACTTGGCAAGCTGATGTAAACTCAGGGACTTGATGCATTTAGCAGTATTTCTCAAACTTGGCAACTTTTAAGATGTGTGGACTTCAACTCCCAGAATTCCCTAGACTTCATGGGGGATGTTGCCCCGCCTCTTTTTCATGCTATCTTCTTCCCGTTCATCTTTCTCCCCCTCTCTTTTTTTTTAAGGTTACCTAGATACCGATACAGATAGCAAAGGTAAGTCCCCTCCTTTGGGGCACCCTAAAGTCTTTGCCTTGCCTATTCCCAGTTTAGGGAGATTAGCATTTGCTGCTGGAAGTTGCATTTTTTTTTAGTTTTCGGGGCGGGGAAGAGCCAGAGAAGACTGCAAAGTAGTTACGGCAATCTTCTGGTGGTTCGTCGGTCATGGGGGGGCATTGATTCTGTACGGGGCCTTTGGAAAATAATATCCACGAGACAGGACATCTTAAACCCTTGGGTCTAAACATGCCTTCCCAAACTGGGGTCCTCCAGATATGATGGATTATAAATCCAGTCACACACACACAACACACAAACCCCTCTCCTGGCTGGGATGAGGAGTTGTGATCCAACCTATCTGGAGCTGTCTGGTTTTTAAATTTCCACCAGTCAGATCTTGGTGGCTGCGTGATTTGGCTCTTCTTCCCAGCAGAGTGGATGCTTTTCTGCAGCCCTGGGGGAAGAATCATGACGTGCGGTGGGCTTCCAGAGAGGGTGGATTGGATAAAGAGATGTTTTCCCTTAGTCTGGGATGGGCAAAAAGATGGCTCTGATGCACCGAGACTGTTCCCCAACCCACTCTTTGCTCCATTCCAAGATGTTGGCTCTGCTTTGGGGCCCACGGCGTGCTGGGAAGTGTCACTTTCCACCCAGCTGCTGTGTTGGTCCTGACATGCCCCTCTCTGTCCAAGGCAGCATCTTCTCTGGCCCTCTTTCCCTGAAACTCCCTTGTGGGAAGTGGGACAGTTACCTTCCTCTTCTACCTCTTCCCGCTTCCAGTGTTTCTTTTCCAAGTGCCTTCCATTGAAGAGAGCCTCTTGGACGACGAGAAGCAGTCGCTGAAACCTTGGGACACCAAGAAGGTGGGTGTGAGGGCGTCTCTGTAGCTCTGCCCATTGTGGGCACCATCCCGTTGGTTTTAGAGGCGAGACTGGCCTCACCACCTCCCTCATGACATCTTCTCAATGTGCCAGACTCGAGTCCCCATTATCCTCTTCCTGCCCTTTGGACTACAGAGCCTGCTGCCCCCCTGCCAGCACCACCCTGCTCCTGCTGATGGAGGGGGACTGGAGTTGTAACTGCTGTCCAGATTTTCTCCCCCTCAGATGAAAAGTTTGAGCCTCAGTCTCTTTCCACTTATTTACCTGATGTCAGCCTTCCCAGCTAGACCAGACAGGAAACACGACCAGATGAGCTAATTCTACTTTATTGCAAGGCTACATTAACAGAATCTCGCAAGTCTGAAAGCGTAAATCTCTCGCCGTCTCTTTTACTGCCTGAGAAGTTAGGAGGTTCCTTTCTGAGTCTCTTTCTCCACCCATTATGCAGCTGAGGGCTAAGCCCCCTCTTATCTGACCGTTCCCTTGGCAGCGTCTCTTCACCCCGTCTTCAAAGGTTACCCTCATGTTCCATCAGAGTGACTGGCCCAAAGTCACTTGTGGCTGAGTGGGGACTCTCCTGAGTGCCAATCCAACAGCTTCACCGCCACACCAGCCCCAAATCCCTACTCTTGCACTCCTGGCCTGGTGGAGGGAGCAGAAGAGCGATCGTGACCCATAACAGGGAGGCTAGTGCCCTGGAATAAAAGGAATACGTTCTTGCTCAAGTATAAAGCTAGTCCCGGGCCTCTAGCATCAGCTCACGGGGTTTACTACAGGCCCATACACGGCCTGATTCTGCTCCGATCACGTCTGGCAGGATATGAGCGGCCTGTCTGGTTTTTGGAAAAGGTTGGAGGGGATGTCTCCAGGAGCAGAGATCTGCTGTTCCCCATTCCCAGTATTTCATTCCGGTAATGGGATATTTCTGTTCCTCAGCTCTCCTCGTCTTCCGCCCGTCCGAGATCTTGTGAGGTGCCTGGAATCCAGTAAGTGGAAGCAGAATTCCCTTTCTCGCTGCAGGGTTGTTTGCTCTGAGCGTGTTTGTATCAAGTCCATGACTCGGCTGCTTTCTCCTCTTGTGCTGACGGAGCTGGCCCCCACTTGGAAATAGTATTCCGATCCTCTGGGGTTGCTTAAAGAACCTCTCCGCTGGTAGAAAGGTAGCTGGGCAGGCAGAGACATTATGGGCCAGATTTCTACCTGCAGGTTTTTTTTTTGGCAATAGAGAAAAGCTTTAGAAATGCTGTTTAAATGCCGTTTCAAATGCAGGCTGACACGTTTTCTCCCCCTCCTCCACCAGCATCTTCCCGTCCCCAGACCAGCCTGCCAACTTGCCTCTGATCCCTTCCGCCCTCAACACGGGAGGCTCCCTCCCAGACTTAACCAACCTGCACTTTCCTTCCCCGTTGCCCACGCCCCTGGACCCGGAGGAGTCGGCCTATCCCAGCCTGAGCGGCGGGAACAGCACCAGCAACCTGGCCAACACCATGACGCACTTGGGTATCAGCGGCGGCATGAACCTAGGCCACGGCTACGACCCTCCAGGTGAGGCTTTTCCTGTCACCCAGGTTTGGGTGGCGGTCCTTCTCATCCTAGGATGGGGGGCGGGGCAGGGAGGGCGTGCTTGGAGGCCTAACAGCTGGATCATCCCTGGGCGACTTTTGCCTGAACCACCAGCCTGCAGTTCTCCTATCCTTCGAAAGTGTTTACTTGCCTGCATGGAGCTGGGGGTGGATTTTCTCTTGCCTTTCTCCACTGAGCACAGGAAAGAGTGGCTTCCCTCTTCCCAGGGATCCTCTTGTTGGGTGCTGGGTGCCAAATGCCCCGTCCCGTCTTTTTAGTGGCCAACTCGCCCGCATGGAATTTCTGCTCGCCTGGGGCGATCAACCTGACATTGGAAGGCGAGGGTCGGTTGGGGTTTCTAGGAGGGGAACTAGCTCGTGGGATCTAGACTCCCCCACAGGGTGGGATAACATGGTACTGTTTCTCGGCTCAGTGGTGGGTTGAGGGCATTTGCAGGGGCAAAGCCAGGATTGCGGAGCTGGCACCAAGTTGGATTTGAGCCTAAATTCAGGATCAGCTGGAGTTTGACCGTGGGGCTTTTTCAGATTCTTCTTTAAATACAAGACCCCTGATTTTTCAAGCAGGACGGATTCTCGTCCCAGCACCCCTTCCCTCCCTAGCAACCCTTGGACAGAGAACATCTTGGCTTGCTGGCTCCTGGCTGAGTCGGTTGGGGGTCGTAGTCCAGTCACCTCTGCGGGGCGGCACGTGCCCCGTCCATTTCTCATATGTCCTTGCAGATTTGGCATTTGGCATTTGATTCCTTCACCCCTTCCCATTTTCTGTGCGTGCGTGTGTGTGTGTGTATCAAATCGAGCCATTTCTCCAGCCCTGGGTAGCGAGGGTCCGCTCGCCTTCGACTCCAGCGCTCCGGGAGATGATCCATCACCATTTCCTTTCCGTTCGGCCATCGACGTGCTCCGGGGCTCGGTGGCCTGGGACGCGCCTCCCTTCCACGGTCAGCCGTCTTGCGTGTGTGTCTGGCTTTTCGTTGGCTCATTGATTTATTGTTTTTTTTGTTCCCGTTTTTGTCCCCACAGGCCTGTGTTCATCTATGCAGAGCTCCCTCAGTAACCCCTGCCTCCAGTCCTCGCTTAACGCCCCCGCGCTGCGCGCCTCGCCCAGCAGCTCCTCCATCGCCTCCTCCATGGGCGGCCAGTCCCTGCCTTCCTCCCTCAGCACCCCCTCGTTGTCGACCTCGCTCAGCAACCCTTCCCTCCCCACCTCGCTCAGCGCCCACTCGATGCCGTCCG